CATCGTTCTTGTTATTTATGTAATGTCCATTATTCATGATCATTTTTCACACATGAGACAGCAGTCCGCTATGAATAGCTACTATGATCCTTGCGTCGTTTAGTAATGCGAAACTCGAAATTCGTTTTTTGACCACTTTTTTTCGACATGACGCTCCTTTCAGTCGAGGGAATTAGTATTTAAAGTATTTCAGTTGGGTTTGTGTTGATTACCCATTCACCATTTTATTTTGACAGAAGTCCCTTTATACATAGAAGTGTATTTTTCATTGCAACTATCTTCACAACTGTTCAAACGAGTAAGTCCCATTAAAGATTTCTTTTTCTCTCGTCAGCCTAAAATCTTCCGCTTAGTTCTATACCTAAGTATTAACCCTTCCTCATAGATTCCTATTCCAATTAAGATAATTATTTAATTAGATATTCTCCCTATTGAGAATTCCGAAATCCAAGAAAAATCCTTGTAGAAATCGACTAAAAATCAAAGGAAACCTTTGTAGAGATTCTGTTCGAATACAGGATTTAGATTTGGAATAGTGTGGGTTTCGATAATTTCCGACAAGTAACATAATTTTTTCGACCGTTTCCAATCGGATACTATGATGATCCTGAGAGATATGTCTGCGTTCCTTTCGTTTCCAGCGGGTAGAATGTGTGGGGTTTCACCGGTTCCAGTACAGGTATATTCCGATAGGAAAACTGGTTCCGACTTCCGTGCATATTTCCTGCGGGTTCCGTTTTAATCCTTGCAGGAAACGGTGGGAAGACACCGAAATAAGTCTAGTTTTCCTTGAAGTTTCAGCAGGATCCTGACGCCGGAAGCATCGACTGGGGTTAACCCACGTATTGATAATGCATGTGTCCAATAATGAAGACATCCCCTTTCTCTAACTATAAGTGTATTTCTCAGCACAATGATTGTGAAGCAGAATATGAGAAAGCAAAGACTGTGTCAGTTTGCTCGAGAAAGATATAAAAAAACAGTCTAAAGAGAAGTAAAAGAGTGCTGACGTGATAAAAGAATGAAGTTAAAAGAAATTCTGAGATGATAAGGATGGAAAAAAAGAAGTATGAGTGAGATCGTATATATTGAAGAAGAGTAGAAAAGGATTTGATGAATATCAACAATAAGGTAAATAAGGAAATCATTTTATTTCTTTCATTAACAAGTTAGAAACGATCATTGTATTAGTTAATGTGTATAAGTAGACAAGGATATCGTCGATAAGACTAAAGGTAATGGATCTATTAATCGATTGTTCTTCAGAATATGTCTATAGGATGGAGTGTCAAAAGCTACACAGCGTAAAGATAATTAGTAAAATGTGTCTCACTTGCTAGATCTCATATTCAGATTGAATTGCACGATTAAAGTCTTCTAGCGTGAGCATTTTGTTAGTTCTATGAGACCCAAGTCCGTTCCGACATATCTGATAGAAATAATGTTGATCAATCTGCTGTGACTAGTGCACAAACAAACCACACTGATTAATAATCATGTGCAAAGGGCTTTACTACGAATATTAATTTGATCTACCCACCCCCTCACCCACACCCTCAAGATGCATAGATTTAAAATTGGATTATTCCTACAAAAGTAAAGCAATGAGAATTCTTTTGAAAGATCTCTTCAAAATATATTTATTTTTATTATTTTATTCTATTGAATTTTTGTACACGATAATTATACGTATCTGTGACATATAAGTTCATGTCAGAATCAAATGCTACAGCACGAGGTAAATTTAATTCATTACTTGCATTGCCTCTATTTCCTGTCCCAGCAATAGTAATACCGAATACAGCACCTGGACAAAACATTTGTATTCTATGATTTCCCGAATCAGTTATATATAAATTGCCATATTTATCACGAGTTAAACCTTCAGGACTATAGAGTTGAGCTGCACTATTACCAGGTCGTCCGGGAATTCCCGCAACTATAGTTTTATCTCCATAACTATCCATATTATATTGTGTTACTGAATGTGAATTTCCATTTACTATATATAAATCATCATTTGGTTCATCTAAATATAAACCAACAGGACCATTCAACTGATATAGATTAAGACCGGCACCATGACCGCCCTAAAAACATCGACAAAAAGATTTTTATGATGATATTTTCTCAAATTAAAAGTCTAACTTACTGCTACGATTTGACCAGCAGATGTTTTTGGAATATAGATTGATGACCAATTCATGATACGTTCATTTTGTGTATCAGAAACGAAAATATTTTTTTTCGAATCAAGGACGAGTCGAAATGGATAACTAAATTGATTTAATGATGAACCTCGAGTTTCATCCCCAGCAACCATTTTACCACTTTTCGCATTTTTTTTCCAAAATTGAACTCGTTGATTACCTTCATCGACAACATAAACATTTTCATTTTCATCTGCAACAACATCTCTTGGACCATCCAATTTATCTGGTGTTGATCCACCTTCACAATTAGCTTGACCAGCTGCAGTTTTAATTTCACCATTTGAATATCTTTTTTGTACGCGATTATTTGATACATCAGTAACATATAAGATTTGTGTTTTGGGTTCAATAAATAAACCTTCAGGGAACTGAAATTGATCTGGATCTGTACCATAGCCATTACCCATTATTGTTATTCCATTCGCAGACCATTTATAATTCCCAGGACCTAATCATCAAATTATTTGAGCTTTTTTATTATTTTATTTACTTACAATCATTAGATTGTTTATAAACAGGTTGAGCTGGAAATAAATAGTTTTAGATTTCTTCAAATAGTATTAATAAATACTTACCATTCGTTGATGCAAATACTCTATAAGTGAAAGAAGATATACTTAGAACATCAAGTTTGTGTTTTAATGTACTTACATAAATAAGAGTAAAAAATATTCGAATAACATACTTTCGTCTTAATAATAGAATGAAAAGCAATTGTGCTTTTGTCATCTATTTAAATTTTAAGCTGTTCTTATTTTATCTCTGCATTGTCATTTCAACAGAGCAGATTTTTTTATATGAAAGAATGACAATGACAAAAACAGTATTAAATTGGTCATACAGGTGTCATTAAAATATTTCGATGTTCTCTGGCAATGTATTCGAGCATGCACGAATGGAAAGAAAACATCCTACAATATTCTTTGGAATATTGTGATTTATATTCAACCTTTTGATTTTGTTCAATTTCTCGCACATACTTTATATTGAATTAATCCGAAGAATATTGGATCACTTTATGCTTGGAGATTCTTGCTGATAATAAATCTTTCATTCATTTCACTTATATTCGTTCACTTACTTTGTATGATAGTCAAAGAAGTTTTATTGAAAATATCCTCTCACGTATTCAGTTTATTTTATCTTGAACATGTTTTAATAATTAACTTTCAAAGTTCTAATAACTGTTCATCTTTTCGACATTTTTTTTTATTACGAATCGATATCCTTATCTTCGAACTTATTGCGATTACAATAGCATATCTGACAATGTCATATCACTAAGCCAATTTTGTATGAAAACATTGGATTATCTGTTGAAATGTCTTCCTCGAATATTTAATTTTTAGCTTAGTGGCAAATGTATTTTATCCAATTGAACATATTGAACCACTATTTTGGGGAAGATTTTGAAAACGATTCGTTGTATAGAACTCAAACAAACATCTTTCCCAGATGAATACCCGGCGAAATTTTTAGTTTTTTATTAATTCAATATATCATATGAATAACCATTACTAATAGTCAATAGTTCTTTCTTAATAATAATATTTTTTGTATAAAAGAAAATCCTATCATATGTAAACTACTTACTACAAACTGAAAGCACTGAAAAAACTATAGAGAATATTTGATGAAGGGTAAGCATGGAAGCGTACAACACTCATTTTCGGCCTGAATAAATGTTTCGAACTAATTTCATCAAAACACTAGATTACAGCGAGCGGAGTGGAAAAACTTTTTGCAGTGTTCCATGTATTAATAAATAACGTTCATCTTTCAGATCCACCGACTATCTTCTGAAAGAGCTGTCGTAATGTCGAACCACTGACGTTAGTCATTTCTCAGTGACTAGTTTTCGGATACTAATTGTGTGCACTAGAAATGTCATTACTTTACAGCCAGTCGGTCACTGACGGTTAGCCATTGATCTTTGTAATCTGTTTTTCCATTTTCACATTATACACATAAAAGCTTTTATAGACACTATGCTTAGCTGTTCACAAAGAAATGGTGCATACCCGGCGGCCTGCAATGCTTGGATATTCAGGCGGAGAGAAACGAGATCTATGTGATCCTAGAAATCTCAAGATTCTTCCGCAACTATGAGAAACTGTAGAATCTTATAGACGAATATTATTTCTCATTACTAGAAATAGAATGTTACTTAAAGGTATGGGCATTATTTTACACCCTTTTTCAAACTTTAGATGGATATTGTCTAAAAACTCATATACAGTAAAAATTACAGTCAATAATTTTCTAATTTTGTGTACGGTTTAGTTCGCTTAAAAAGCGTTGGTCAGCACGCAAATCTCGACACATTAGTGATCGTAAGACTATAATGTATAACATCATCCTCATATTTGGTTAAATGAAAACAAACATTTACAACATCATCATGAATAAATAATAATCCAATCTATTCAGTTGGTCTTCCACCGAATAGTATTGTTAATAGCAATATTTCTTTGACACGTTCGTCGATATAAATCATTAGGTAATAAATTCCAAATACCTTTAATCATTGCCTCTCGGAAGAGACGAGATGTTAATGTCGATAAATTAAACGATCGCACATTGATCATATAGTACAAATTATTTGTTAAACCCAACATAAAATATATGACCGTCCATTCTTCAACATTTTTGTTATCGTTCTTCGTTGCCAAAAAGTAAGAATACATTCGAATCCATTGTAAAATAAAGAAACTACTTGCAACTTTGAGAAAATTTCCCATAAGTTAAAAATACAAAGATTAACATTATAACTGATGTGTTATAATTCCATGAATAACAATATAACTCACAGCGTTTTCTGTTGGATGTGTTACTCCACATCCATAATCAGAAAAGATATCATACGAAAGAGAAGAATATAATGATACAATACAACTAATGATGATAGTGAAAAAAATCATCATCGGTACCATTTTCAGTAGAAGAATTCGTTGCATTTGAGATGTTAGACCACATGTATATGCATAGTGATCAATGAGACACATTATTAAAAGATTTAATGATAATTGAGGGAAAAATACTAAAAGAAAAAGTCTTAATTTACACGTAAAACTATCAGATATATTTGAAAAAAGATTTCCAGATGATGGATTAAAGTAATGTGGAAATAAATTAACAAACAGATTGAGAATATCAACAAATGATGCTACGAGGGTGTACAAATAAAATGAATTTTTTCGAAGAGTTGGTTGAAGAAATGTAAAAACATTGTTATAAACCTTTCTTGTACGACATTGAAATCATCGATTATTGATTTTGTGAACGATATTGTATTATTTGCTAGTATGATATCATCTTATGAATTATATTCTACAAATATGATAGACTAGATTGTATTAATAAATAAAGATTGTTCAAGCAAGGACCTATATTATTAGAAATTTTAATTCAAAGCTTTGCTTCAAACGTGCTTCATTTGCCATAAATTATTTTAATAATTCATGGCATTCATCCATTATCAGGCAAAAAAGATTTGAACACATAATAAGTCTCTGTGATAATGGAGTTATTTTTAATTCTTGTCAAAGTCAACAAGTCTGACTGGAAGTTCTTTCTTCTATTCTTAGAACAAAATAAGTAACATTCCATAAGAATTGTTTATCATGCAGAAAATTCATATCAATGAATGATCATCATATCAATTCCGACAGAATGTAAAGAACTGAAAGATGATCAAAGGAAAATGGTTTTGTTTTTCTTAATAAACACAATATTTAAAAAGTACTGAGAGACATCGAACTGATATTATATAAGTACGAACGAATATTATACATTTTGTCTACAGTATTCAATTAATATTTAGTAAATCTGTTATAGATGACTTGTTTGAAAACAAAATTATTCTTCAATTGGCTGAAACATCTGGTCGAACATTGACATCAAACAATGGTGCAAGAACTTTTAATGATTATACAGTTGCAACGAGTTTTCTTTGAAGACATTTGAAATCAACTGACTGTTGCTCAAAATTAAATCTACATCCATAAAATATCAGTAAGAATTGATACTATTCAACAGGTATGAAGTCTCATCGAGACTCTTCTTTGGTTTATTCGATAAAAATCTTCGAATCAATCCAAGTGACTGAGTACTTCGTCGAAAACTTGGAAATATTCCTTTGACAACAATTGCACTAACAAAACCGACTCCAAATATTACACTTTCAAGTAGAGCTCAATGTTCTTTGAACAATGAGAATGCAATAACTATGTTGTGTAAAAATCCGAATGCGTCATAAGTGTAAATACCAATTGAACTTACATTAATAAAGTCACTATACACAAGTATCTAATACTCATTTTCGTCTTCTTTCAACACATATGCTTACTAGAGTTTCGTATGTTATGTTAGACAATCAATTGGCAATCCATTATTCCCTCGTAATACACTCTAGCGATAAGACGCATCTACCCCTTTCTCTCCTATTCCATATATATATATATGCAACAACCGAATCAAAATAATATATAGAATCAATTTGTTTCAACTAATGCACCAACACAATACTATTGTCAACAACTTGTATATCAACCTGGACATCTAAGCAGCGAACGATATAATTGTAATAACAAAAGAGAACGTAATGATATAAAATGGGTAGATCTGGCCTGGTTCGAGTTCGAATTCCAGGAAACTTTTGGACATAGAGAAATTACCAAAGATTCTTACTTTACTTTTTCTCAACGAAAAATTCACTAAGAAAGTTCAGAGATATGTCAAATATGCCAGTCATGAATATCGATAACTTAGGAACATGACTATGTATTTGTAGAACGGTTACGATAAATGAAAACTAGTGAAGAGTTACTCTACACTTCGAGATAATCAGAGTCGTGGTCTGAGTTCGAGACCTGGTCAAAAAGTCATTGGATCCAACCGGTTCTATACAAGACATCTCAGGGTGTAAAATGATATCATACACACACATATTTTATACACATATAATACTTAAGGATCAACAATCGATTAATAATGACATAACTGCGAAAAACTGTATGGCGTATTAGTTTATAGAGCAATATCATTCCACTTGCACTTTATACGCGTTTCGTGTTGTGATATTCAATAGATTAAATCGATAAGATATTACGTTAATTTTATCGAAGTTTCTATAAAGAACTCATATTACTCGTCTAATTTCGAAATATCTGATAGAAATGAGGCAATCAACTTGACAAGAAACAGAAAAGCAGCATTTTGTTTTGCGTATAATTATGTAAGACTTGAAATTACTCAATTCTTTGAGTATGATGTGTCAGTGTGCGTCTATATAAAGCACTACTTTATGTGTAGAAGTTCAGTTTCATTTACAATGGCTTCACGCGATTTTAATTACGCCGAACCAAGCGCTTCGTCCGATAATGCATCTGATTCCGATATGAATTCAACTCCAGAACGTGTTGGTGCAATTCACAAGTCAGATCACGTCGTGCTCAATGGACGTCCCGTCAAAGTAGTTGAAGTAGCACATTCAAAACCAGGAAAACATGGTCATGCAAAGGTTAATTAACAAGCTCTTTCACTTTTTTTTAATCTTTAATCTGATCTTCTTCAGGTTCATTTAGTTGGTATCGACATTTTTACAGGTCGTCGGTATGAAGATGTTCGTCCAGTTGGACATATGATTGAAGTACCAAATATCCAAAAGAAAGAATATAGCGTGGTTGAGCTCAATGAATGTAATTCTATTATATTACGTGACGATAATACAGGTAAAATGCGAAATGATTTAAAATTAAAAAAAGATTCGGATGTTACCGCTCGAATCCTCGACAAATACAACGAAGGGAAGGGTCGAATAAAAGTTACCGTTTTCAAAGTACTTGGCGAAGAGCAAATCAAAGCATTTAAAGTAATTGAATAGCGCCGATGAATGCATATTGATGTCTACAGAACATTGATCTCAACAAAATAAGAAAAAAAACATTATGTTTTCCTAAATTTCATTGTAAAATGAAGATTCATCGGTTTATGTTTTTAATTCAAATTGAGGATGTGTAATTAGTTTTCTCTCATTCTCAGTCTCGTCATTGAAATTAGAACTATTTTCATGGAACAATAGTTTTGCGACGTATGTAAAGAAAAGTAAATACGATTTCTTCATTTAAAACTTCAATTTTTATACTTGGAATTTTTTCTATCGTTTCTACGAGTGACTCCATGGGGAACGTGGCACGTTTACCACAATAATTCATAATTATGATTAAATGCGATATATTCCTATAGTTTCCAGGATAACCTGAAATTGATCGAAATGTTAAAATGTCGAAAACAAAAAAGAGAGTGCAGATAGATGTGTAAGATTGAGGGCAAAGGTGAAGAACAATGCCTTTCTCAAACTAAATCATTCGCACCTTGTTCATTTTTCGAGGTTTGTATAATTTGTGTATTCGATATTTTTTTATTCTCGATCTTTTTAAATTCGATATTTTTACTTTCGACATTATTCAGTAGAATCTGTCGTCCATGTCGAGAGAGCTAATCAACGATCAATAAAACCAAACTTCATGACAATTAACCATTAATTATGTCCTTTAATTTATATCTGATTGTTAGTCTCGGGATCTCTTGACTATAAAAGAGCAGATTAAATAGTCTTCAATCATAAGAAGCAAAGAAACTGAATTGTTGTGAGTCGATATTATTCAGATCGGATTTGTTCGTCAAGTTGTTATTCGTGAACAATTTCAAATAAATAAATCTGAGATCTCATTTATTTGATGTTATATTTTAGCGTTACTCAATTGATAGTTCTAACTTGACGATGAAAGCAAATAGTGAAGCACGAAGGACGCTGTCTATGTATGTAAATAATATCTACGAATAGAAATATTTCAAGTTTGTGTCTTAGTTACTGCTGTAATTTAAAGAGAGAGGTTGTGTGTGGAATGCTATTGATTATTATTATCACAACCGTCGTTGTAAGCGTTTTAACTCCAACAGTTATTGTTAAAAAGAATAAAAATGGATCTTTATCAACAACAACAATGGATCGAGGTATAAACTTGCGTAGTATTTGTTCTATTGCATGAATGTGTATAGTGTACACAAGATTTGATATGCGATAGGGATTTCTGAGAAATTTGTTTCCGCATTAAATGCAAATCTTACGGTAAACATATAAGGGATGTTATATCAAGCATATCTTCTATAATTTCCGTGATGTCCAATAAAACACTTTGATAAGGAGATCACTCAGTTCAATATTTGCCTATTTCTCAACTATCAGAAAGTAGAGGTATAAGTTGATGATACCCGATTGAGTTACAACTGCAAGCAACGGAAGAACAGATTGTGATCTGATTCGTTCACGCTCGATCGAGACCGGCACATTTGAAGGGTTTGAGAACCACCTCAATAAGGGTTATCTTATGTTGATTATGTGAATATCTGAGAAAAGGCTTTTTCGGAGGTATAGTAAAGCATTATCTTTCTTTTCAAAATTCGAACCATTCTATAGCTTGTTCCATAAGTAACACTTGGATTATTGTGAATGTTGCCCGATAGCCCTATCTTAGTACGTTAATTTTATTTCAGTCGCGATGTTTCATAATCAAGTTACTTATCCAACTAATTCTAATCCACAATCAATTGCTGCAATGGATTTAAATAATGACGATATGCCTGATATTGTAGTTGCAAACAACGCAGATCACACCGTTAGTGTTCTTCATAATGTAGGCGACGGCACATTCCTTGGACAACCTGCTTACGCAGCAGGTGCTTATGCACAGTCGCCAATAGTAGCCGACTTGAATGGTGATAACAAATCAGATATTGTTGTTGCCAACTCTCGTTCCAACAATATCGGTTGTTTTCTAGCATCGCTAGGCATTGATTATGAGCTCGTTTCATTATTTTGTTCACCGTGACATCACATTCCAAACATACTCTTTCCTTTTGTTATATTCCTAATTGTTGCTTCGTATTTGAGGAAAAATTCATCAATATCTTCATGGTTTTTTTTCAATTTAGAAGTCTACGTTGTATTATCTTGTCAATAAAACAACTCAGTGCAAAATCATTTCCAACACTTTTAACGTCAGATTCGTTCGTTACTTCAAGCCTGCTGGCCCTTTTCAAATTTCTAGATCATCTAAATATTCTTGAACCGCACATCAGTCGTCTTTACGAGTACTCAGAAGCAATTCTGGAAGTTTCAAGAAACATTCACTTTTTTATAGGACAATAGAGAATGACTTTCTATCTCATTATTCTATACACCTGCTGTCATAATCATAGGAATCTCATAGAAAAATAATTTTCTATAAAACTCGATTAATGGTTGAGGCACAGTAAGCAGCAAAATTTAATGTTTCAATTTTCTTTTCTGTCGCTATAAAAGTTGTGTTAAAGTAGTAAGTGTGTCACGAAATAACGAGTGAAAGGTCCAATAACTTGTAGAACAGTGTTCATTGGAAGATAGTATCGCCGTGTGAACAGTTTATGCTACATTGAGAAAACTACTTTTCTATATTGACAAGAAACTCTCACATTGGATCTTGCAGTAAACTGCATCGTTTGACACAACTTGCGTAGCAATGGAAAATGACATGTAACGGATAGTTATCTACGGAGTCTCTACCAACAGTTAAGTGTTGAATGAGATTAGCTTTTTCTATCAAAATTTTTTGATTGTAGTGGCAAATGTGAGATTCTTCTTCACTGCGTTGGCGATGCCAGAGTTGACAAGAAAGCCGAAGGACAGAGAACGAAATTAAAAGAAAAATAATGAATTAGCAGAAACAGACTCAAAATAGAATGCAATAGATTTTGTACCTGAAGCAAGGATATAAAAAGTATCATTCTGTTCTTTTGTCTGATCTTGAACATTAAAAAATAGACGGGTACATTTTAATATCATTTAAACTTCGGAAGACAACTTTCTACTTTAAAATAAAATTTTCCTTTATATTCATATTCCCTCTTATTCTCCAAGACGTAAGTAGAGTACGTTCTAAATGATTTAGAGCGCTTATAACTATGTATTAACAGTCAACTCAGTGTTCTTTTCCACTGTTCAAATGAACCTTTTTCTTATCGCTTAATATAATGAAGTCATAAAATAGGCAATAGCTATCGGCTGCTTATCCTCATTATTAAGGATATTCAGCAAAGCAATCTTAGCGTTTCATCTGATATAAAGTAAAGAGCTTCTTTTAATAGCCTTTAATCTTCTGTTTTCTCTTTTCATACTACTCATTCATCTACAAGGTACAGATCAAAATTGACTGTTACGAAACGAAAAGACTTTTTCATGAAAGTTTCTTCGAAGTTTGACAATCCTGTAGATCTTCTCCTCTGAATGATTGATGACAGGTCGTGAGTAAGATTATTTCTTTACTTTCTTGATGTTTGATCTCTGCCGTAGACCAGACAAATCTGATAACAGCTGACAGATCGAGAGGTTTCTTTTTTTTTGGTGTTACATATGTTGATACAGACTGTCAAGGAAGTTAATCTTTCTATCACAAAACAAAAAAAGAGAGTATTATAATGTCTATTCTAGATTTGTCTCAGCACATCAGCAAGGAAAAAAACGTACGGGCGCGTAACTAACGATTTTGTATCCTTTCAACACAATCCCACCTTCGCACAATCGGTCCGAAATTTTTCCGTTCATCTAAATAAATTTCAAGCATCATGGTAGATTTAAAAACCGGTCTTGCTCAATTCAATATTTATACCGGAATATTGCTGATGATCATTGGCATATTTGGAAATATTTCCAATATGGTCGTCTTTTGTAAAACGAATCTTCATCATCCAACTACTTACATACTGTTTTGTACTTCGTGTGCCAGTTTATCGTATCTATCGATAGGTTTGTTCACAAGAGTGATTACCACTGGGTTTTTGATTGATTGGACGACAATGAACATGGGCTGGTGCCGAGCTCGCTTATATTTTGCTCATGTGATTGTGCTTATTTCAGTTTGCTTCACGTGTTATGCATCAATTAATCAGTTCTTCTCGACTTCTCAGAAAGAAAAACTGCGTCGATTGAGCAATTTAACTCGTGCTCGATGTGTAACGTTTCTTATTGTTGTCACATGCTTCTTACATCATCTCCCACTTACAATATTGGCACAACAGATTCCCAATGGAACTGGAGGTGTTGTTTGCAATCCTGTGATCAATCCTTATTTGAGAGGCTATATTTCATACTTTATTGTTCCGTTTGTATTATCTCTTATTCCAGTTACTTTCTTAATTATTGTTGGTGCGTTGACATACCGTAATGTAAGTATGTTACAAGGCGTCAATTCGCGACAACGCACTCAACGTCATCTCGTATCGATGATTCTTCTCCAAACAGTTTCAATTACTATTGGATCACTTCCATATGGTTTACAAAGCTTCTACTCGGCTATCACGACATATGTAGTTAAAGATAGTAATCGAAAAGCCGTCGAAGATGCCATCTTCCAAATTGTCAACACTACGTATTATATTCCGCACGCGTTCTCGTTTTTTATTTATCTAATTTCGTCAGCAACGTTTCGTGATCAAGTGAAAACAATTTTACATTTACATCCGAAAGAAAATCGTGTGGCACCGTTTTTACCAACAGGTACTGGCTTACGTGATATTCACACAAAAAAAGAGCATATGCATACATTAACATAGGAGATCGATATTAGTTACTAATACCACAGTAGTTTATATCCTACAAATTGTCTATGTCGTCATTTTTTTCTTTTCTTATTGTTGGCCGTTAAAGTGGGCTAAACACATTGTTACTGTTATCACATGTTCGAGTTATTTTAAAAAAGTATAACAATAGTGAAAGTGACGAAAGGATTTGAATGTTATAATGTGTGATATAAGACGAATAAAATAACCTACAACACAGATTTGATCCATACAGTAAAACTCGTTCAAAACTATACCGGCGGTGACCAACTCTCGATCTATTTAATGGTGTACAAAAAAAGTCAAGAAATCATTTCTTAGAAGTTCTTATTCTGCATTCAAATTGAGATGTTTTCCTCTTTATAATTAACCTTTCCTTGGAAAATGAATTGACATTTATAAATCAAATGATAAAATCGAAGTAGCAGACAATTGATTCGATTCTTTTCCTGTTCATTATCATCCATAACTCTTTCACCTTCTCGATTTCCTTCATTTTTTTCGATGTATGAACTTTTAACGAATCAATCGCCGAGATATTGAAAAATCCTTGTAGAGACATCAAAATGGGAAAAAATGAGTTGATGATTATGCGATAGTGGACTCGAGCAAGCGTTATTGGAATGTAACACAACTATCCTCATATAAATATCAGTTTCGTGAATAATGAACACATGTGATCTTGTTCGAAACAATCATTACCTTAGTAGAAAGAAAATATCCTTTTTAACTCAAAAATCAATTCCGACAGGCACGACTGATTTTTCTCCATTGCAAAAGTATCTTTTCGAAGACGAAAAAAGACACACACAAAGTGATGTTATGCATCAGTACTCATATAAAACGAAAAGAAAAGGAACATGTTTGCTTTCTCGAAAAATCTGCATTACAAGGGATACAAGTCAACGTGTATTCGAGGTTTGTTTTCTTTCGCATCGCCTTTCTCCTCAATACATTCGAATTGTAATAAGTATTATGATAAGTATAATTTGCTTCTAATATTTCCGATCATATTTTTGTTACATTAATAAAAATGACGTTTGATAATTTATCTCAATATTCACAAGCATCACATCTTATAGTTGGATTAGACTTAACCAATGAATTGATACATCAACAAAACTTATTGAAACTTCACGAAATGTTCAATAATGTTAAAGATTGCGAAAATTTCATTGAAAAACAATCCAATGAAAAGCAAATTATCGTCGTGATTTCCGGACACATATCTCTCGCTGAAATAAATCAATTGGAAAAATATTCAAACATCGCCGCTATTTATCAGTTCTTGCAATCAAATGATCAAAAAGAGCAACTCAAATGTATTTATACGAAAAAAGTCACACAATCTTACAGAGAAACAATTGTTAAATTATTGGAAAAATTTTGGTTTCTTGTCGGCTTAGCTATTGCCGTCGTACTTGCCGCTCTATTTCCATCTATAGGTGCATCAAATGGGCCACTTCATGCTGAATATACATTGAAATGGGGATGTGTTATCGTGATATTTTTACTTAGCGGTTTAGGATTACCAACAAGGACACTCAAGAACGAATTATTTCATTATCGTTTACATATTTTCACTCAAACGTTTAATCTCGTTTTTATTCCATTGGTCGTCTTTGGAATTTGTTTATTACTCGCTGAAACATCATTCAATAAGATATTCATCGCTGGTATTATCACCATGGCCTGTACTTCTACGACTATTTCAAGTAATGTAAGTGTTGAGAGAAACATTGTTATTCGATTAAGTCATCGTTTTACGAAAGAAAAAGAATCAAATTTGCTTTTAGGTGATCATGACAAAAAATGCTGGAGGAAATGAAGCTGCAGCATTAGTCAATGCCGTATTAGGTAATGTACTTGGTATAGTGGTATCACCTGCCTTAATTTGGCTTTTTATGTCAAATTCGAATTTGAATGTTTTAAATGAACCATATCGAATTCAAGATTATCTAAATGTATTGATGAATTTAAGTATAACGGTGTTGCTTCCTCTCATTGTTGGACAAATTATTCATTTTATTTGGACCGAACAAGTTACGATATTGAGACAACGGTTTCATTTTACAGAATTGAATAGTCTCGCATTGTTATGTTTACTCTGGTCTATTTTATGTGATTTATTTAAGAGTGACTCATTCAAAAAGGTGAAAATTGCCGATATTTTAGTGATTATCATCCTTAACGCATTATTCTACATTTCGTTTTCTTTATTAGCAATGTTTTTTGCGAGAGCACCTAATGTTTTCCGATGTTGCAAACGAAATCAGCACAATGATAAAACACTCTTATTAATCAGTTCAACCGATCGTCATAAAAAGACATGGATTGACCGATGGCGATTCTCCCGAGAAGATACTATAGCGATTATGTTTTGTGGTGCAACAAAAACTGTAGCAAAAGGTGTACCATTAATCAATGCCGTTAATTCAGCGAATAATCAGCAATTGATTGGTCTGTTAGCATTACCATTGATATTTTATCACGTTGAACAATTAATTATCGGTGCTGTAGAAGTTCTCCTACTTCAATATTGGTTGAAATCGAAGTGTGAGAGAAATGCCGAAGAACTTATTGAAAAGAATTAAAATATATTCACATTTGCCATTTTCCCATCGACTTTCCATCGTTCTTTTTACGAACAACTGAAAACTTCATCTATTTATAAATAAATGAAATCAGTAATTCTTAATAAATAGGTAATATTTATTGTTTTCAATATCTATTAGAGTGCAGAAGTTGTTGATCTCTTCCTAAAACATTCGTCGAAGAATCTCTTAAGAATAGTCAAGTTCATCAAAATATGTGTAAATAAACGAATGGATTTCTCTCAAACATCCTTTTCATCTGAGTCAAATTCATATAGAAACACAATCAAAATCGCAATAAATCATTTAGCAACATATGTTCTAGTGATTCACATTTTTCTAATAACGATGAATGAATACTTTCTAGTTGTAATGTTTTACATAATTGAGATGCTTCGTAAAACTACGCTTCACTGCAGTAGTCAAACTATCATTTATGAATTCTAAAAACTTTCACCCTTTGTTTGGTTTTGTAAAATACTTCTTTAAATGGCAGAAAACTGATATGCAAAACATAGTTCCTTGTTACACCTCAGTTGATAATTGAGTTTCACACGGGATTAACTTTCTATTAAAATTGTTCTATTTTAACACCACGGATAAAGGACACTGAAATATCTGAGAAAAGAAGCTTTGCTTTTGTTAATCTTCACATGAAAAGATGAAAATTTCTCTCGATTTCAATAACAAAATTTTCGTTCTCGTCTTTCAACGAATGTTTTTGAGAAATATTGAAAAAAAATCGTGGTTTTGAAAGTGTATCCTCTTTCGTGACAAAAGGAACCATATCGACTTATCCACAACGATTTATTTTTCCTTTTTAACTAAATGAGATAGATTATAGACATTATTAATTCTCACAAAATACCTCGTTGACAATGGAATTGTATTCTCTCACCAAATTGGTACGAAGAAAAAGGAAATAGTAGATCAGTTTTGTCATCTTCCCCACACTAATATTGTGTGTGACAAACAAAACAAAGAAAAGAAAAGAATGAAGATTTGATCTATTTAAAACTCAGCCTTGCTCAATTCAATATCAACACTGGTTTCTTGATTGATTGGACGACAATGAACATGAATGCTATGCATCCATTAATCATAGAGTGGCAAAATTAACCACAAATTTACTTCTATTCTACTGTTCTAGTATTCCCTGTAATGCGAGTGGGAGTAGAAAGAGTAATCAGACGACACTTTCCTGCACATGAGTTGTCTAATTCGAATTCAAATATAAATGAAGATCTAACAAAATGAAAACACTCAAAAATAAATTTAAAAAACTTTCGACTGACATTAGACTCGAAAAAAAACCAAAAAGCCAAAGTTTTCTTCGTTTATAATTTCAGTTCAAATTATATGCCTCACCCACGTCACTATAATCCAAGGTGCATCAACGATTGAAATCCTGTATATATGTGGTACTGAGAGGTTGACTTCAACTATTCATTTATTCCTTCATCGGTTAATCACACAAAAATTAACAAATCGGAGGGCGTTTTACTATAGTGAGAATGTCTATCTCAACTGTTTTCCACAAAAGATTCTGATCTGAGCAAGAAAATCAGGATAAAATGCGTAGAAATTATCTTAGAACATTTTCTAGAAACCTGAAATAAGTAAAAGATTCTTGTCAACATTTGACTTCTTTATGTAAGAAAAACTTAACTTAAGTCTCTGTCATTGGCACAAATATCAGAGGTTTACCGAATGACCGATGAACAAATGTTAATACGAAGATGAGGTTATGGTGATGACATGATTATTGTTGGGACTTCTGTTCAAGTTTATTCAATTGCAGAGATCTGTCTGAATTAGCAACAAGAAATTGTGGATATTAATTTAGAGAGAACGAACTTTTCTCAATAAAATAATTTATGAAGTTTTAGGTGAATGAAATGCGACAGCTGTATCTGCACTTGTCGAACGAACCATTTTCTTTTTACTATATAAACAAAACGAATAATCATTACCAGATGACTTCGATCAAAAAGATAATCATCTAATATTATAACTAAAAAGGTAACTGCATGTGCCTTTTTTTGAATACGAAATGAGTTGAAACTTATTTTGACATTTGAATTCAATAAGAACCAATTAGATGTATATCTTGAGTTAGAAAGCAAAGTAAGTACGTAATTTATTTTTTTCTTTTGCATCCAATAGTCATTATATCTGCATATACCATCAATTGGTGCATTTTCAATAGATTGTCTACGTTGTTTTGCGCACTGTCATCAAGCATCTTATGATTAATTATGAAATTTTCTTTTTCTTATTTTTCATAAATTATTTATCCTCATCGAGTAATATATAATTGATTGTACTACACAGTCCTTTTTACTTTGTACTGATTGTGCTTGTATTTCTCATGTGGAAATTTTATTTCATATTTTTCCAATTTCTTCATTTTGTTGAATCAACTTGGCCAATTTCTTCTTCATCAAATGTTCAAATTTTGGGTTTATTCGAAACTATTTCAAATGACTCCGAATTAAGTTTTATCCCAAGACAATGTCATGCGATGTTCCAATCTGCAATAATTCTTTCTCAACGATACAATATAAAAGTTAACAATCAATCAATTGGAGGTCAAATAGGACAAACAAAAGGTAATTCAATCTATGCTCTTAATGATACATGTCGAAGTTTAACAACTTCAAACATTGTTGGCGTTATTGGTCCACCGTATTCAAGAGAAGCTCATGTTGTTGCTGCATTTGCTGAAGGAATTAATATTCCCGTTATTTCCTATTCTGCAACTGATCCAACATTGTCTGACCGAGCAACATATCCAAGTTTCTATCGTACAATTCCTTCAGATGGTTTAATAGCGTTGAAAATTGTCGAATTGTTTATTCGATTTAATTGGACATCATGTTTAATTATCTATCAAAATGATCAATTTGGTTCCAATGGTGCTGATAGTATTAGTGATGCATTTGATAAAAACAATTTAACAATTACTGATTTCGTCGTATTTGACATGGCGACAGCAAGTATTCGAGGCAATTTCAAGGATACTTTAACTCATAGTTTATCCCGAATTGTTCTCTTATGGGCAGATGAAACTCGTACATCGATTATTTTACAAACTGCACTTCTTAATGACCTTATTGGTCCACATTTTCTTTGGATTTTAAGTTCAAATATTCCTCTGGATTCATTTAATGAAACTTATTACGATGAATTAATCGGTATATTAACAATTACAGCGACTGTTGGAAGTCGAATTAATACAACATTATTAAATGCGGCATATGAAATTTGGCAAGAATATGAACCGGAAACATTTCCTGGAACAGCCAACGTTTATAGTCATGCGTTATTTACATTTGATAGCACTTGGTTTTTAATTCAATCATTACAAAATTATTGTTCAGTCAATTCGAATATTTCTTGTTTATCTCGAACGAATGCGACATTTTGTTTTGATATTCATTATGACAATTTCGATCTACTTATGAAAACATTGAATCAAATGCAACTTCTTGGTGTCACAGGTCCTATTCGATTCGATGGAAACGTAACTGATCGAATCGATGGAAATAGTTTTCTGATAAAAAACGTTCAATTGACTGCAGATGAGATTAGTTTTGTATCAGTTTTGAAATATATCGATGAAAATGGTTGGCAAAAATATGACAAATCAAGTGTGATTATCTGGCCGAATAATACGTTAACTCCACCAACTGGTTTTCCTAAACTTGACGCAGTGAAATTGCGAATTGGTCTTATCCAATCAGCTCCATTTGTTATGACAAAAAATGTTATCGATGCATCCGGAAAAGAAAATGTACAATTAGTTGGTTTTATTCTTGATTTTATCGATCGTTTACAAACTGTAACTGGATTTATTCCTGAACTTGTCTTGGCACCATCGAATACAACATATGGCGGAATGGTTCAAGCAGTTGTTGATAATGTTTATGATATTGTTATCGGTGATGTGACTGTGACTTCAGCACGAAGAGAAATTGTGGATTTTTCAACTCCATTTTATGATAATACTTTTAGTGTTATTATTAAGAAAGATTCAACTGTGAAATTAGATTATTTTTCATATTTAAAACCTTTTTCTCGTAATGTTTGGTTAACATTATTAGGTGCTTGGCTTTATGCTGCAATTATATTTTGGATATTGGAACGAAATGTCAATGATAGTTTAAGAGAAAAATCGATAATGTGCTCAATAATGTTAAGTATTTGGTATTCTTTATGTACAATTTTCGGTTTTGGAGCCGAATTCGCTGTACAAACAGCAGCTGGACGTGTTTTAACATTTGGTTTATATATGCTGAGCATTATTTTAGTTGCAACATATACAGCTAATTTAGCATCTGATTTAACATTATTAAAATCTCAAGGGATTATATCTGGAGTTGATGATCTTAAAAATGGAAAAATTCCGTTTAGTCGAATAGGAATTCTTGTTAATTCATCATTTGAAGATTATTTTCTACGAGAAATTTCTTCTGGAAGTCGAAATTATTATCCATTAAAAGAACAGAATGAAATTTATACAAATTTGATTGAAAATCGAATTGATGCATCGATTATGGACACAGGAATTTTACAATATGTTACGAATACACTTTATTGTGATTTAACATTAGTTGGAACAACTTTTAATCCGAATGTTTATGCCATTGTTATTCCTAAACAATGGTTATACACGCGGACGATGGATGTGCAGATTTTAGCATTGAAAGAAGCAGGATTTTTAAATGATTTAATAACAAAATGGTTTCAAGGACAAACGTGTTCTGATTCTTCATCGGATAGTTCAACTGCGATTAGTATTTCCTCCCTTGCTGGTTTATTTCTTACATTTTTAGTTATTACGGCTCTTGCGCTATTGCTATTTTTATGGACAAAACGATTCACTATAAAAGATTATTTACGTCGAACCGAATTCAAAAAAAACTCCAACGATACTTCAAGTCCAAGTGAACTTAAATCAGAATCGGTTATTACTCAATATTTGTAAAACAAACAAACAAACTTGTCCTTCAGTATAGATAAACAAATTGTTTTTTCAATAATTAAATTCTACGTTTCGAAAGATATGTAAACAAAAGATTTATTCTGATTACCAGTAATTGAGCGCGAGTACGAGTATACTTGTAGTATATCACTTCTATGGTTTTTCACTATTAAAATTCACTCAAGGCTTTTCTAATAGTTCCTAAGAATTTTCGAGAACTTTAAACACAAAAGCTTTGTTCTTTTGCATAGAACGATAACATTCACATTATCTCCTCGTTGAACGTATATTAACATAGTTCTGATTTATTTCAGCAGTAAGGTTCAAGGTCGAACAAACTACAATTTATCTTTTGTGTAGAGATATTATATTGAATTGATTTGTTGAATTCGACATTGATTCAGGTGAATTTCAATTAGAACATAACGTAATTGATGGAGAACGAATATTAAATAATAAAAAAATAAGAATCGACTTATTATTGTAAAGGAATGATGCTGAATAAAGATAATAAAGAAAAGCAGCAGTAGTAAGAGCAAATTTGGTTTTATTTGTAGTTGATGGATTATCTGAGAAGAGTTGGATAATTCGCAACAAAAATAACATAAGAAAGAATTTTTATGGAATTGAAAATAATTTATACTAAAACTATTATTGTCAATTGTCGAACATAATGATATGAGGAATTGAATGTATAACACTTAATCATCGTTGTGTCATCGAAGATGACTTGAAATCGAAAAGTATTGATCAATTACTGCTAAACTTAAAATATATAATAGACAAAATTCTGCTGAATAATCCTCGGAACTTACGATAGAATTTCGACAATGTTATCCAATCAATACTCGTTAGAAAACCGGTTATTAATTGAAGTATTTTAATAATGGGTGATAATGTTAAATAAAAATCACATGAACTTTCTCGAAATGTTTGCAGAATGAGAAAAACCACGATATTTAATGAATGATCAATCATAACAAATATAAAAATAATAAATATATCGAAATAATTGATAATAATATTGGAATTTAGAAGAATAGTTGAAGGTAATACTGTCGAAATAGTTTACGACGAAATTTTATTGAAATAATTCCAATAAAAGAATTTATTAATGAGAAAACGTGATTTTTTGAAAATGAAAATCTATTTTGAACATAATTAAGAGATGTTTTTGATCTGGAATAAAAGAAAATGAAAAAATTGATTTCACTAATTTATTTGTATCGAGTACTTTAAGATCAAACACGCAAGATTTTCAATAACTCTTGTTACTTTTGATATTATTTATCAGAATTGATCACACTGTTGAAAAGTGTTCATTTGAATTTGTTTTTATACAATTTCCTCGACTGAGAATGAGAATGAGAATGTAGATGTTGGAAAAGATTGAATTCATCATCATACACTCTCATCCCTTGTTTGTTTTTTTAGAAAGTTTTATTTATTCTTCTCCTTTTGAGATTGTTGATGCCGAGCTTTGTTCTATATGATGATCTGATCCATTGGAAAAGATAAAGACATAGGTGTATAGACGTATAAATGAATTTCTATTGCTTTTGGTTGTTTTTATACTTCATTAAAGATCTTCATAGACATTTAAAATCGATATATGAAAGACTTATTCGAAAAAATTCTTATCTCCTTCGTTGAATGACATTGTTGATGTAGAGTACATTCTTTCTATTATAATCTTCTTGTTATTGATGTAAATCAATGAATAGATTTATTGATTTTGATTCGAAGCAAAGAATTTACTAAAAAAACTTGTTCAATGCTTTGGTTTTAAATCAATGTTGATTAATTCAAAGCGAAAGAAATCTTCATGGAAAATTAATTCTGCCATCAAATAATGATTTACAAGTTGGTTTTATCAAATATTTCAAAGGATTTTAATCTTTGCTATTATATTCAACTTGTCAGCAAATGTTTAATATATATCGAAAAGATTTCAATTATATATGTTTATAATTCAGTCAATGTCAACGTCAAATTAGTATCAAATCTCAATCTCTGTCAAATGAATTTGATAAATGCTTCGACTCATTCATTTTGTTGATAATCAGATTATAAATAGTGAAGTTTTATTATAAATTCCAAAAATTGTTATTGGAATCATAAATGTTGAAGAAAATTCAACAAAACATTTTAATTATCCATTTGGAATTGCAATTGACAAATATAGAAATATTTACATAGTTGAAATAAGTGTACATCGAATAACATATTGATGATTATTGAATAATCCGAATGGAACAATCATCATTAGAATAGAATTCACGGGAAACGATTTATTTTCTTTGAATAAATCACATGACTTATTCTTAAACTGTAAGAATTCATTTCTTTCTGTTGTTGATACATTTAATCATCGAATTCAAAGTTTTTCATTGATTAACATCACTAATTCAAATAATGAGACAACAATTGACGGAGGAAATGATTCAGAATCTTAAAGTAATCAACTAAATCGACTTTTTGCTGTTTATATGTCGAAAACAAAACTAAATAATCGTATTCAATGTTTAACCGCAAATTCAATGTCAATCTGTTATTATTGATCGATGATGATCCGAATAGAAGTGTGAATATATGACACTTAATAATTACTTTAAATTATGATGAAATATTTTTCTATATTGTCGATATTGCAACTCGAAAGTTGAAAGATTTTCATTTCAAATCGAAAATGAAAATAAAGGGTGTGAGTGTCTCTTCCAGTTATTTACTTTCTTCCCTTGTGTCCGTACTTTTGTGTAAAAATAAAATATGCTGATAAAATAGATCTATTTATCTTAGAACTGTTTGAAAAGAAAACATTGCAAAATGAAAACAATTTATAAGGTGATTCACTATCGTACCTAATCTAACCTTTGCAAAGCTGAATCTACGAGAAATTTTCTCTATTTTCTTTTAACAAGAACAGCAAAAGGACAGAAGACGAAAATGCAAGTTGATATTTACTTGGTTGTTTTTCTTTCGATTCTAATCGTTCAAAGTATATTAAAATCATTGTCAAGTTGACAAATAGATTCTGTCGATCTTTTAGCCAATGGAGTTCCTCGTTTTGCCAATTATTATCAAGATCATATGGTGTTACAAAGAGGACCTCAACGCGCTTTAGTTTGGGGTTATGGTGATGCGAATAAATTAACAAGTTTAAGAATTGGAGACAAAATCTACGAAACTGTCAGCCGATCAAAGTCTGCGGATGGTTTCAGCGAAGGTACATGGTCGATAACACTTGATCCTGTTGATGATGAAGGTCCTTATGATATTCAAGTGTCTCAACCATTGACGAATGGAACATTGATGACAATTACTCTTCATGATGTTCTTTTCGGTGATGTTTGGCTTTGTTCAGGACAGTCCAATATGCAAATGACAATGAGAGATATTTTCAATGCAACAGAAGAAATAGCCAATGCAGAAAAATACCCAAAAATACGTGTATTCACTAACGGACGTACACCTTCCTCTACACCTGTAGAAGAATCAATACAAATTATACAAAAATGGTCAATTGCTTCATCTTCAAGTATTGGTGGTCCATCATGGACATATTTTTCAGCTGTTTGTTGGCTTTATGGTCGAATGATTCATGAAGCATTGGGTGGACGACCAATTGGACTGATTGCAACGAGTTATGGTGGTACAGCGATTGAATTATGGATGCCACAAGATGCTTTTCTAAAATGTTATCCACCATCGTAAGTAAAGATAACTTCATAAAAGAATTCTTTTGGTAAATATGACCAATAGACTCAACTCGAAGAGAATGGCTGATCCGATGACAAATTCAAGTTTATATAACGGAATGATACATCAATTTACACGAATGGTGATCTATGGTGTTATTTGGTATCAAGGTGAATCAAATAGTGGAAGAAACAATGNTCCCGTATCATTATTTCTCTCTAAATCTCTTTATTTTTCGAAAAATCACTACGACTGTTGATGACTTATAATAAGTTTTCTTAAACTCTACTAAATTTTTGTTGAAGTTCATGAATTTTATTTGTTTTATTGCGATTTCACGAAGCTGGTTCAGGATCCTCCAGGATCTCATAGGATCCCTAGGATCCACCAGGATCTCGTAGGATCTCTGGGATCCACAAGGATCTGAGGATCCAGGATCCGCTTTTCTCCCCTTGTGATGTTTCTAATTCAAGAAATCGGAAAAAGTGATATGAGCTTAGTATTATCTTTGCTTTGTAGGCTACATACATCATGTCTTTTCATAGGATTTTAGTAGAAGTAGTTTGCAAAGTGATATACCCGTTGATGAAATTCCATCTTCGTAAATACAGGCGCATGGACTATACAAACAGTATTCCGAACGCATGCGGCACTATGAAAGATGTTCGTTTCGAAGCAAATCCTACAGTAAGATTTTCTGATCTAGTTTCTTTTGATAGTCGAATGAATAGAAGATCATGACTGTTGAAGCGACAATAAAAGAAAACCCAATCGTTCAGTTTGAAAGTTAATCAAAGGCGAAAGAAATAACAGAGACAGCATGGCAGCGGCTAGCCGTGAGTGGCTGACCGAAGGGAGGACGACAGACGACTAGACATTTAAATGCTAGATTAATCCTAAAGTGTACGCTTAGAATAACCTTGCCAAGCTTCTGATAACTTTGAAAGGGATGTGACGAATGAATATTCCTCAATGAAAATATCCGACAAGGTATCATTTCGTTGACAGGAGAGAAAAGAATCGGATTATCGCTGGAAGACACGGACGAATGTCCAAACATTTCAAGTAGTGTACTGTATATCGTCCGTCTATGGGTAACTTAGTAAATCATTTATGAAAATTTCCATGCGCGCGATGTGAAAATAGAAAAGCAGAGGAGAAAGGTCAATGGTTGGCCTTGAATGGCCATCTGACTAGCCGTTGAGCGATGAATTTTGCAGTCAATATAGTGAGTGCTGGAGAATTGTCCACTGACAAATGGCTAATCGGTCTGATTCCTAAAAAGACCTCTGTATCCTATTCATTCCAGTTCTAGTGTGTGACATAGTGACATGATTCAGTTGAGCACTAGTAGCAATCGCAGTGCGTTTTTTTTTCTTTCAAACTCTGTGAATGTGTTCAGCATTCGGAAAAATCTTTCACAAAAGGGTCAGCGAATCCAAAGGATGAGCGTTACTTGTTGATACAGACATGATATATATTATCCATTATAAAAACGTCAATTCCGGCTCGACAAAGCATCTAGATTCGTGTCCGTATCAAGTATCATCGAAAAGATACGCAGCCGGTTTGGAGCCGGCAAAATATTGTAGGCTCCGGCTCCACTTACAATCCTCTAAACACAGCTTCCGCTCCGGAGCCGGAGCTGCCCATCTCTGGTCACAAACGAATTTCAGTTTTTTGACCGCTTTTTTTCGATATGAACTCCTTACAATCAAGTGGAAAATTGCCATTGAGAATTTTCAGAAGAATAGAATGTTATAGTGCAGCTTTTGAAAGGTGATGAAAGTGTTTGCATCAATTATCATCTTGAGAAAGAAAGCGAAACTACTCTCTCCTTTTAGTTGAGAATGCAATCACTCTCATCTGATAATGAGTATTCACTTATAGAATAAAGCACAATTATTGCTCTTACATTACACTAGAAAATAAAAAACAGGAAGATCTCGAATGGAACATATTTCCTTGTTTTAAGAAGAGAAAGGAACATCAGTTAGTTCAATTTCTTTCTAACTTGTCACATATTATACACAACGTCCGGTTTTCATTTTACTTTGAACTATAATGTTACTCTTATTTCTGTTCATTGTGCATAGCATCATTAGTAGATTGGCATTATCTTCATTACCTATTCGGTCTGCTCAAATCAAAATTTATCACCAACATTCGTATATTGTAAGTCATATAATCAACCAAATTGGTTTTGGAGTGTATGCAAAAGATTTGTATTCATGCATATACAGTTGTCAGAATAATGATTTCTGTCGAACAGCTGTTTTTGATTCTCAATTATTCACATGTCGTCTCTACGAAGAGTGTAATACTCAAGGACAAATGGTTTTTGATCCTTACCAAACTCTTATATCATTTTTGGTATGTAAAGATGAGCCGGACAATGCAGGTTTTAGTTCACCTTTGATCGAATCTATTCCAATGCAAACTGTCATGTCAAATGCAGTATGGATTCAAAATTTGACACCAACATCAGATTCTTGGTGGCCATTTTTTGTCAATGATGAAATTTATGTTCCCATTGATAATGTTGTTTATATTTATGAAACAAATACTTATTCATTTGTTCGATCTCTTATGATCCCAGTTACATCATCACTTTCTTACTTACGCGGCGATAGTCAAGGTATACTTATGTATACACAACAAGATGATCCCAAGTTTTACATATACTCTTTAATAACAAATCAACTGACTACTATTGATATTTCATTTACAGGTGATACTTTTTGTTATTCAACTAGTTTTATTGCAATGATTTCAACGTCGTTGAATGTAGTTGATGTGTATCTTCGCACGTCTATAAATAATTCTGCCACATTTATTTATCGAATCAATGGTTGGAATTCGATAGATCACTGTATCATTATCAACGATGAACAAATGATCACTACAGTGAATACTGGTGGTCTTCAAACAACGATGCTTAGTAAAGCAAATTATAACTCGACCATTACAACATTATCATTGAATACCAGTTATTTACCAACAGGTGCAGCGTTAAATATAGATGCTGCAAATCGACTTTACGCAGCTCCTGATTCTTTCTGGCAAACATCAACAGCATTTTCAACAGATGGAAAACTGCTTGGTACTCATGGAGGTACACAAGATTGTGCTGGAAAGGCTAGCAAATATAAATTTATTCTTTTGACAACTGATGGAAGTCAAGTATCAGTATACGAATACAAACCTTAGTATAATATCGAGTTGATTTTAATTGTATGTCGTGTAAAAGTATGAATAATTACAATCGAAGTTTTATCGAAATAAATAAGCATTTTTTTTCGAAATTGGAAGCCAATAAGAATAGAAATGAGTTCCTTCTTAACTTGTTATTTGATCAGTTATTCTATACTTTTTACTTAGGTGTATCCAAAAGTAATGTCATATCTATTTTATTTCTTTATTAAAAAGTCAAAAGAAAATTCTTTTCTTACAAAAAAGATAGAGAAAGTGAAACTCTCTTGTTCTATGCTATTTGATTCTCATTCAGTTAATGCCATAGCAACAAAATTTTCGATGTGAATTATTTTTGTGCAAAACTTAGGTAACGAAGTGACCATTATAAGTGTTAACATTTCTAATACAGTATGTTAAAAATCGGTATGTACCAAAAGATACAGCATGAGGTATTCTACAATCTGCAGAATAAAATTTATTTGAATTATGTATTTTTTGTTTTCGAGAAAAAAACAAAACTCCGCACGACTAATTGTGTCTGTGGCAGAGATGGGCAAGTCAGAGGTTTTTCCAAGTCAAGTCCAGTTTGACCTGACTTGACTCCGTTCAAGTGAAAAAATGATCTGATATGGCCATTTTTGACATTGAAAACCTCTTTCCATGTGCCTCTTACATTGATTTGAGTTGGTTGAAGTCAAAAAATGACTTGACTTGCCCATCTCTGTTCGTTGCCGACGCGTCGGCAACAAGTCATAGACAGTGATGGAGGTTAAATTGTTGAAACCTAGTTGTATCTTTTGAAGTTAAGAAACAAAAAGAAAATTTTCAAAAAAAACGCAAAAACTTTCTGGCTAACCCAATATATCGTCTCGACCTATGTGACACCAGCGATAATCAGTCTTTATCAACTGTACTGAGATACAGTCTGATGATTCTTACGCGACCTATCAACTAGGAATATAAATAACACTTATTTGTGAACTCTCGTCATATACGATGATATTTACATGATAATACATAAGACATCATAAAACGTCTTTTAGCCTACTTCACTCGGAGACCTAAATAAGAGTTGATTATGTCGCCATCATGCCCAAATATACGTATGCAGAGCTATGCACAACGTTTCAGGCTAATATGCCTAATGCATTGTCGCAATCTATTATTTCATGACATCAAGTGCACACGGTTTTAACCTTTTAATGATTTATGTTCGACAACATACTACACCACAATATTGTCTTTCTTAATAGTGGCTTCTGATGTTTGAAAAATACTCAAATTTCGATCGGTCAAGTCGTCAGAAACATACAACCTTACCCAATTTACTGATATTGAGGGGTTAGTAAATTACAGCGAGCGGAGCGAAAAAACGTTTTGCAGCGTTCCACGTATTAATAAATAATGTTCATCCTTCAGATCCGCCGACAATCTTCTGAAGGAGTTGTCCTAGTGTCGAGTCACCGGCGTCAGTCTTTTCTCAGTGACTAGTTTTCGGGTACTAATTGTGTGCACTAAAAATGCCATCGCTTTACAGTCAGTCGGCCACTGCGACGGTTAGCCGTTGATCTTTGTAATCTGGTTTTCCATTTTCACATTATACACATAAAAGCTTTAAAAGACACTATGCTTAGCTACTCGTAAACGAATGGTGCATACCCGGCGGCCTGCAATGCTTGGATATTCAGGTGGGGAGAGCGGGATTTATGTGATCCTAGACATCCTCAAGATTCTTTCGCAACTATGAGAAACTATAGAATCTCATAGAAAAATAATGTTTTTCATTACTAGAAATAGAATTCTATTTAAAGGTGAGGGCACTATTTACACCCTCTTTCAAACTTTAGACGGATATTGTCTAAAAACTCATATATACAGTAAAAATTACAGTCAATAATTTTCTAGTTTTGTGTACGGTTTAGTTCGCTGAAAAAGCGTTGGTCAGCACACAAGTCTCGATACATTAGTGATCGTAAGACTATAATGTATAACATCATCCTCATGTTTGATTGAATGAAAACCAACATTTACAACATCATCATGAATAAATAACAATCCAATCTATTCAGTTGGTCTCCGACCCATAGTATTGATGATAGCAACATTTCTTTGATATATTCGTCGATATAAATCATTAGGTAATAAATTCCAAATACCTTTGATCATTGTCTCTCGGAAAAGACGAGATGTTAATGTCGATAAATAAAACGATCGCACATTGATCATATAGTACAAATTGTTTGTTAAAACCAGCAGAAAATATATGACCGTCCATTCTTCAACAGTTTTGTTATCGTTCTTCGTTGCCAAAAAGTAAGAATACATTCCAATCCATTGTAAAATAAAGAAACTACTTGCAAATACTTGCGCAAATACCATTGCAATAAAGTGATTTCGAAAACGATTTCGCTTTCCAATCGTCACTACACTCTACAACAGAATATATGAATGAATATATATAATAATATGGCACAACACTTACAACTCGTTGTCGACTTTGAGAAAATTTTCGATAAGTTAAAAATACAAAGATTAACATTGTGACTGGTGTTATGATTCCATGAATAACAATATAACTCACAGCGTTTTCTGTTGGATGTGCTGTTCCACATCCATAACCAGGAAGAATATCATACGAAAGGGGAGAATATAATGATACAATACAACTAACAATAATAGTGAAGAAAATCATCATTGGTACCATTTTCAGTTGAAGAGTTCGTTGCATTCGAGATTTTAAACCACATGTACATGCAAAGCGATCAATGAGACACATTATTAAAAGATCTAATGATAATTGAGGGAAAAATACCAAAAGAAAAAATCTTAATTTACATGTAAAAATATCAGATATATTCGAAAAAAGATTTCCAGATGATGGATTAAAGTATTGTGGAAATAAATTAACAAACAGATTGAGAATATCAACAAATGATGCTACGAGGGTGTACAGACAAAATGATTGTTTTCGAAGAGTTGGTTGAAGAAATGTAAAAACATTACCAATGAATCCAATAAGACCAAGAATTGGAATAATTAAAGAAAGTTTTGTTATAAAATTTTGCTGTGCGACATTGAAATCATCGATTATTGATTTTGTAAACGATATTGCATTATTTGATAGCATAATATCGTTTTATGAATTGTATTCTACAGATATGATAGACTAGATTATATTAATAAATAAATAAAGATTGTTCAAGCATGGACCTATATTATTAGAAATTTTAATTCAAAGCTTTGCTTCAAACGTGCTTCATTTGCCATAAATTATTTTAATAATTCATGGCGTTCATCCATTATCAGGCAAAAAAGATTTGAACACATAATGAGTCTCTTTGATAATGGAGTTATTTTTAATTCTTTTCTAAGTTAACAAGTCTAAGTAGAAGTTCTTCCTTCTATTCTTACAACAAAATGAGCAACATTCCATGTGAATTGTTTATCGTGCAGAAAAACCATATCAATGAAATGATCATCATATAAATTCCGACAGAATGCAAAGAACTGAAAGATGATCAAAGGAAAATGGTATTGTTTTTCTCAATGAACACCATATTAAAAAGCACTATGGGATACATCGAATTGATATCATATAAGTACGAACGAATATTATACATTTTATCTGCAGTATTCAACCAATATCTATTAAATCTGTCATAGATGACTTGTTTGAAATCAGAATTATCCTTCAATTGGCTGAAACATCTTGTTAGGTATCGACATCAAGGAATGGTGCAAGAATTTATAAGGATTATACAGTTGCAACGAGTTTTCTATGACGACATTTGAGATCAACTGACTGTTGCTCAAAATTAGATATATATCCATAAAATATCAGTAAGAATTGATACTATTCGACAGGTACAGAGTCTCATCGAGACTCTTCTTTGGCTTATTCGATAAAAATCTGCGGATCAACCCAAGTGACTGAGTACTTCGTCAAAAGCTTGGAAACATTCCTTTGACAACAATTGCACTAAGAAAACCGACTCCAAATACTACACCTTCAAGTAGAACTCAGTGTTCTTTGAACAATGAGTATGCAATAACTATGTTGTGTAAAAATCCGAATGCATCATAAGTGTAAATGCCAATGGAACTTACATTGATATAGTCACTATACCAAAGTATCTAATACTCATTTTCGTCTTCTTTCAACACATATGCTTACTCGAGTTTCGTATGATATGTTAGACAATCAATTGTCAATTGATTATTCCTTCAGAATACACTCTAGCGATAAGATGCGTCTATTCCTTTCTCTACTACTCCATATATGTATATGCAAAAGCCGAATCAAAATAATATAGAGAATCAATTTGTCTCAACTAATGCACCAACACAGTACTATCGTCAACGACTTGTATATATGAACCTGGACATCAAGCAGTGAACATATTAATTGTAATAACGAAAGAGAACGTAATGATATAAAATAGATAGAATCCGTTGGGTAGACCTGGTCTGGTTCGAGTTCGGATTCCAGGAAACTTTTGCACATAGAAAAATTCACTAAGAAAGTTCAAAGATATGTCAAATACGCCAGTTATGAATATCGATAACTTAAGAACACGACTATGCATCTGTATAACGGTTACGATAAATGAAAACTAGTGAAGAGTTTACTCTAAACTTCGAGATAATCAGAGTGTAAAATTATAGCATACACACATATTTTATACACGTATAATGCTTCATTTCACTACATAGAACGAGAAATGTCTCTTGCAGCGACACCCTATATCTTGTCAATAGAAAAAGAGAACTTTTTTCTCAGTTCAATAAAAGCATATCGCTCGTTCAGGAGCTCTGGTTCAGATATGTGCTTTTTTCTACCTCGAAAAAACCTTCCGTGGCTTTTAAGGATCAACAATCGATTAATAATGACATAACTGCGAAAAAGTGTATGGCGTATTAGTTTATAGAGCAATATCACTCCACTTGCCCTCTATATGCGTTTGGTGTTGTGATATTCAATAGATTAAATCGATAAGATATTACGTTAATTCTATCGAAGTCTCTATGAAAATCTCCTATTATTCATCTACTTTCGAAATATCAGATAGAAATGAGGCAATCAACTTGACACGAAACAGAAAAGCAGCATTTTGTTTTGCGTATAATTATGTAAGACTTGAAATTACTCAATTCTTTGAGTATGATGTGTCCGTATGCGTATATATAAAGCACTACTTTATGTGTAGAAGTTCAGTTTCTTTTACAATGGCTTCACGCGATTTCAATTACGCCGAACCAAGCGCTTCGTCCGATAATGCATCTGATTCCGATATGAATTCAACTCCAGAACGTGTTGGTGCAATTCACAAGTCAGATCACGTCGTGCTCAATGGACGTCCCGTCAAAGTAGTTGAAGTAGCACATTCAAAACCAGGAAAACATGGTCATGCAAAGGTTAATTAACAAGCTCTTTCACTTTTTTTTTAATCTTTAATCTGATCTTCTTCAGGTTCATTTAGTTGGTATCGACATTTTTACAGGTCGTCGGTATGAAGATGTTCGTCCAGTTGGACATATGATTGAAGTACCAAATATCCAAAAGAAAGAATATAGCGTGGTTGAGCTCAATGAATGTAATTCTATTATATTACGTGACGATAATACAGGTAAAATGCGAAATGATTTAAAATTAAAAAAAGATTCGGATGTTACCGCTCGAATCCTCGACAAATACAACGAAGGGAAGGGTCGAATAAAAGTTACCGTTTTCAAAGTACTTGGCGAAGAGCAAATCAAAGCATTTAAAGTAATTGAATAGCGCCGATGAATGCATATTGATGTCTACAGAACATTGATCTCAACAAAATAAAAATAAAAAACATTGTGTTTTCCTAAATTTCATTGTAAAATGAAGATTCATCAGTTTACGTTTTTAATTCAAATTGAGGATGTGTAATTAGTTTTCTCTCATTCTCAGCCTTGTCATTGAAATTAGAACTATTTTCATGGAACAATAGTTTTGCGATGTATGTAAAGAAAAGTAAATACGATTTCTTCATTTAAGACTTCAATTTGTATACTTGGAATCTTTTATATCATTTCTACGAGTGACTCCATGGGAAACGTGATACGTTTACCACAATCATTCATAATTATGGTTAAATTCCTATAGTTTCCATTATTGTAAAATGATTCTATATTCACTATTGTTAAAGGAGAAGAGAATTTATTTAAAAGACACCTATCAGAACGGAAAAGCAACATAGAAAGTTTTGTTTATTGTTGCTCAAAGCATAATCGTGCGTCGATCTATAATCTGATAAAACACAAAATGGCACAATAATTGAAGGAACAAAGATCATTTATGTCAAAGACGGTGAATAAATATTCCTTGCAAATCTTGGATAACCCGATGCTTGCACAATCAGAATAGAATTACTTTGTAAATCACAAATACTAGGAACACTTGATAGTAACAAGAGTTGAAAAATCAGGTCATGACAATGACACTATGTGCCGTTTCTGCTTAATAAATCGCAACAGAAGTGTAGAACTACAAACAGAAATCAAAATAATTGGTAGTGTATAATCGTCATATATATCATATGATTTTAACTAATAGGGGATATCTATATACAAACAAATTGGTTCACAACGCATCTTAGCGGAATTCAGAGTTTGACCACAAGAATAAAGAAAAAGCACAGAATGTACAGAGAAAAGAAGATCAACGGTAAATAATGAATCAGTAAACGTCGACGAAAGGTGGAAAGGAGATTTGTATGAAATAACAATACGTGTCGTTCGAATAATGCCAAAAAAATATTAACGAAACAGCTCTATACTAAATTCCATGATCGACACATTGCCAAATCAAACAAAGTGATGGAGTAAACGGTAAAACACAAAGATATGAAATGGAATTGATATGTCGATGTTCACCAGAAATAATGAAAAGTAAATGTTCGATCAAAAGAATGGAACATTTTATACAGTTGAAAGGAGATTTCACATTTGGATTTTCAAATCTTTTATTAAATAAATTGTTACTAACAGAAATACTAATGTGTTAACACGAAAGTTTAATTAGAATAATGGAGAGAAAACAATGTGAAAAGAGATTTTGATGAAAAAAACTTTGATGTTTTACAAACTGAAATGTAATTGGGTTTTGTGACGATTCATCAAATAGAGTCAGATGTGATTATCTTTCATTTTTATTCTATTTTAACAAACACCAAACATTATTAGTGAGGAGTAAGATGTTTGACAGGTTGAGAATTACCTACATATTTATATTTCTTGCAACTCATTTCATTCCAACTTGATAAAAACTAAACCTTCTTGTCGTCTATGTCGTAAGAACTAATCAACAAACCAAACTTTATGACAATTAAACACTAATTATATCCTTTAATTTATTCACCATTTGAAGAGATTTCAGAGAAGAAACTGAATCTTAACTGATATGCAAATGGTGTAGCTGTCATACATAGAGATATGCCATAATTCATGAGCTATGCAAATATAAAAACTATAACGTTAATGTATTTTTATGAGAATTATTCATCCATTTAAATATTTTTATTTCTTAAAAATATGATTACTTGTATATGAATAATCGCATGTGTCATAAAAATACTGCAAATGAAAAGTGAGATGTTATTCTTTCATATATATCTATGATTGTTAGTCTCGGGATCTCTTGACTATGAAAGAGCAGGTTTAATAGTCTTCAATCATATTTGGTATTTGTTAATATTCTGTTCTGATTTTTTATTCTGTATTTTTCTTCAGTGATCAACAAAAGAAACAAAGAAACTGAATTGTTGTGAGTCGATATTATTCACATCAGATTTGTTCGTCAAGTTGTTGCTCGTGAACAATTTCAAATAGATAAATCTGAAATTTCATTTATTTTATGTTATATTTTAGCCTTAGTCAATTGATAGTCCTAACTTGATGACGAAAGCAAACAGTGAATCACGAAGAACGCTGTCTATGTATGTAAATAATATCTACGAATAGAAATATTTCAAGTTTGTGCCTTAGTTACTGCTGTAATTTAAAAAGAGAGATCCTGTGTGGCATACTATTGATTATTATTATCGCAGCCATCGTTGTAAGCGTTTTAATTCCGACCGTTATTGTCAAAAAGAATAAAACTGGATCTTCATCAACAATAACAACAACAACTACTGCTGCTGCGAGTAAACCAACCATAATAACAACAACGGATCGAGGTATAAACTAGCGTAGTATTTGTTCTATTGCATGAATATGTATAGTGTACACAAGATCTGATATGCGATAGGAATTTCTGAGGAATTTGTTTCCGCAGTAAATGCATAAAAGATAATCTTACGGTAAACGTATAAGGGATGTTATATCGAGCATATCTTCTATAATTTCCGTGATATCCAATATGACACTTTGAAAAGGAGATCATCCAGTTCAGTATTTGCCTATTTCTCAATCATCAGGAAGTAGAGATATAAGTTAACGATACTCGATTGAGTTTCAACTGCAAGCAATAGAAGAACAGATTGTGATTTGATTTGCTCACGCTCGATCAAGATCGGCATATTTGAAGGGTGTGGGTGTAGTATCATCTTTCTTTTCGAAATTCGAACCATTTCACAGCTTGATACATAAGTAATATTTGGATTATTGTGAACGTTGCCCGATAGCCCTATTTTAGTACCCTAATTTCATTTCAGCTGCGATGTTTCATAATCAAGTGACTTATTCAACTAATTCTAATCGACAATCAATTGCTGCGATGGATTTAAATAATGACGATATGCCTGATATTGTAGTTGCAATGTTTGGAGGATCCACAATTAATATTTTCTTCAACACTCGAAATGGTACTTTTAATAAACGAATGAGCTATGCAACTGGCACTCATCCACTCGGAGTAGCGTTAGGAGATGTTACTGGTGATAATAAGGCTGATATTGTTGTTGCAAACAACGCAGATTACACCGTTAGTGTTCTTCATAATGTGGGCGACGGTACCTTTCTGTCTCAAAGCACATTCCTTGGTCAAACTGCTTACACAGCTGGTGCTTATGCACAGGCGCCAATAGTAGCCGACCTGAATGATGATAAGAGACCTGATATAGTTGCCGTCAATGGTGATTCAAACACTACTAGTATTTTCTTCAATGCAGGTAATGGTACGTTTCTAAATCAAACTATATATGCTGTTGGCTCTACACCATCATCAGTAGCTGTTTGTGATGTTAACTTAGACACTAAACCTGATATTGTCGTTTTGAATCAACGTTGGAATAGCGTCAGTATTCTCCTTAATGTGGGCAATGGTACATTTCTCGACCAAAGAACATATACCGTTGGCAACATGCCAAATTCATTAGCCATCGCTGACATGAACTTGGATACGAAACCTGACATTGTTGTAACCAACTGGGCTTCGCACACTATCAGTGTGCTCCTCAATGCAGGCAAGGGTACATTTCCCAATCAAATCAGTTATACAACTGGCAGACATCCTGTCCCGTTAGCAGTGCTTAATTTGAATGGTGATAACAAACCAGATGTTGTTGTTGCCAACTCTGGTTCCAATAATATCGGTGTTTTCTTGCATCGTTAGACATTAATTATGAGCTCGTTTCATTATTTTATTCACCATGACATCACATTCCAAACATACTCTTTCCTTTTGTGATGTTTCTAATTGTTGCTTCGTATTTGAAGAAAAATTCACCAATATCTTCATGGCTTTTTCAACTTAAAAGTCTATGTTGTATTATTTTGTCAATAAAATAATTCAGTGCAAAATCATTTCCAGCACTTAACGTCAGATTCGTTGATTGTTTCAAGCTTGCTGATCCTTGTAAGATTTCTAGAACATGTAAATCTTCTTGTGTCGCACATCAGTCGTCTTTAAAGAAACATTCACTTTTTTATAGGATAATAGAGAATGACTTTCTATTTCATTATTTTATACACCTACGATCATAATTATAGGAATCTCATAGAAGATTAATTTTGTATAAAACTCAATTAATGGTTGAGGTACAGTAAGCAGCAAAATTTAATGTTTCAATTTTCTTTTCTGTCGCTATAAAAGTTGTGTTAAAATAGTAAGTATGTCACAGGATACTGCGTGAAAGGTCCAATAATTTATAGAACAGTGCTCATTGAAAGATAGCATCGCCGTGAGAACAGTTTACGCTACATCGAGAAAACTATTTTTCTATATTAATAAGAAATTCTCAGATAGGATCTTGTAGCAAACTGCATCGTTTGACACAACTTGCGCAGCGATAGAAAATGACATGTAACGGGTGATTATCTACTGAGTCTCTACCAACAGTTAAGTATTGCATGAGATTAACTTTTTCTATCAAAACTTTTTGATTGTAGTAGCAAATGTGAGATTCTTCTTCATTGCGTTGACGATGCCAGAATTGACAAATATTATTGAATCAAAGAAGACGCCTTGGAGAAAGCCGAAGGGCAGAGAACGAAATAAAAAGAAAAGTAATGAATTAGCAGAAACAGACTCCTGATAAAAAGCAATAGATTTTGTACCTGAAGCAAGGATATAAAAAGTAACGTTCTGTTCTTTTGTCTGATCTTGAACATTAAAAACATAGACGGGTACATTTTGATATTGTTTAAACTTCGGAAGACAACTTTCTACTGTAAAATAATATTTTCCTTTATATTCATATTCCCTGTTATTCTCCAAGAAAATGATCCTTTCATAAGATTCCAATACGTAAGTAGAGTGCGTTCGAAATGATTTAGAACGCTTATAACTATATAGTAACAGCCAACTCAGTCTACTTTTCGACTGTTCAAATGAAACTTTTCTCGCTGATTAATATATTGAACTTATAAAATAGGCAATAACTATTGAGCTGCTTATCCTCATCATTAAGAATATTCATCAAAGCAATCTTAACGTTTCATCTGATATAAAGTAAAGAGCTTTTTTTAATTGTCTTTAGTCTTCTGTTTTGTTCTCTCATCCTACTGATTCATGTACAAGATACAGATCAAAATTGACTACTACGAAACGGTCAGGTTTTTTCATGAAAGATATTTCGAAGTTTGACAATCCTGTAAATCTTCTCCTATAGATGATTGATGACAGGTCATAAGTAAGATTAGATTTTTCAATATTACTCATTTCTTTACTTTCTTGATGTTTGATCTTTGCCATAGACCAGACAAAACATTCTGCTCTGATAACAGCTGACAGATCGAGAGGATTCTTTTTTTTTGGTGTTACATATGTTGATACAGACTGTCAAGGAAATTAATCTTTCTGTCATAAAACAAAAAGAGTATTATAATGTCTGTTCTAGATTTGTCTCAACGCATCAATAAGAAAAAAAACGTAAGGGCGTGTAACTAACGATTCTGTTCCATTTTAATATAATCGCACCTTCACAAACGATCCGAAAATTTTCCGTTTATCTAAATAAATTTCAAGTATCATGGTAGATTTAAAAACCGGTCTTGCTCAATTCAATATTTATACTGGAATATTGCTTATGATCATTGGCATATTTGGAAATATTTCCAATATGATTGTCTTCTGTAAAACGAATCTTCAACATCCAACTACTTACATACTGTTTTGTACTTCGTGTGCCAGTTTATCATATCTATCGATAGGTTTGTTTACAAGAGTGATCACCACTGGGTTTTTGATTGATTGGACGACAATGAACATGAGCTGGTGCCGTGCTCGCTTATATTTTGCTCACGTGATTGTACTTAGTTCTGTTTGTTTCACGTGTTATGCATCTATTAATCAGTTCTTCTCGACTTCTCAGAAAGAGAAATTGCGTCGATTGAGTAATTTAACTCGTGCTCGATATGCAACGTTTCTTATTCTTGTCACATGCTTCTTACATCATCTACCACTTGCAATATTAGCACAACAGATTCCCAATGGAACTGGAGGTGTTGTTTGCAATCCTGTGATCAATCCTTATTTAAGAGGCTATATTTCATACTTTATTGTTCCATTTGTATTATCTCTTATTCCAGTTACTTTTTTAATTATTGTTGGTGCGTTGACATACCATAATGTGAGTATGTTACAAGGTACCAATTCGCGACAACGTGCTCAACGTCACCTCGTATCGATGATTCTTCTCCAAACAGTTTCAATTACTATTGGATCACTTCCATATGGTTTACAAAGCTTATACTCGGCTATCACGACATATGTAGTTAAAGATAGTAATCGAAAAGTCGTTGAAGATGCCATCTTTCAAATTGTTAACACTACGTATTATATCCCACACGCTTTCTCATTTTTTATTTATCTGATTTCATCGGCAACATTTCGTGATCAAGTGAAAACAATTTTACATTTATCTCCGAAAGAAAATCGTGTGACACCGTTTTAACCAACAGGTACTGGTTTACGTGATATTCAAACAAAAAAAGAACATATTCATACATTAACATAGAAGATCAATATTAGTTAGTAACACTACAGTAGTTTATATCCTACAAATTGTCTATGTTGTGATTTCTTTTTTTTTAATTGTTGGGTATTAAAGTGTGTTAAACACATCAGTACTTTTGTCACATGTTCGATTTATTTTATTATCAAGAAATAATTAAGAAAAAAAGTATAACAATAGTGAAAGTGACGAAAGTATTTTGAATGTTATAATGTATGATATAAGACAAATAAAATAACATAAAAACAATTCATTTGATCTATAAGATAGAATCGATCTATACAATAAAACTCATTCGAATCTATATCGGTTCTCGGTCTATTTAATGATGTACAACAATAGTCAAGAAATCATTTCTCATAAGTTTTCATTCTACATTCAAATTGAGATGTTTTCCTCTTTATGATTAACATTTCCTTAGAAATTTATTTGAAATTTATAAATCAAATGACAAAACAGAATTAGCAAACAATTGATTCGATTCTTTTCCTGTCTGCTCATTATCATCCACAACTATTTCACGTTTTTTCGATGTATGAACTTTTAACAAATCAGTCGCAGAGATATTGAAAAATTCTTATAGAAACATCAAAATAGGAAAAAATGAGATGATGATTATGCGAATGAACTCGAACAAGCGTTATTGGAATATAACACAACTATCCTCATATAAATATCAGTTACATTTTTGTTTTTTTCTTACTAATTAACATTGATAGACAAATATTTTCATTGATCAAAGCAAGTGAGGATAAAGAAAATGATTCTGGTTGATCGATATTTCTTGTTAAAAATTATTAATGATACTTTTTCATTCGCCTTTTTTCTCCTTTTGAACTTAAAAATAAATTTCGAAAAGTACGACTGATTTTTTTTCCACTATAAAAGTGTCTTTTCGAATACGAAAAAAGGACAAATACAAAGTGATGTTATGCATCAATACTCACATGAAACGAAAAAAAGTAACATGCTTGCTTAAAACGAATCATTCTCGAAAAATCTGCATTACAAGTGATACAAGTCAACGTGTATTTGGGGTTTATTTTTTTCACATCGCCTTTCTCCTCAATACATTAGAATTATAACAAGTATTTACGATAAGTAAAATTGACTTCTAATATTTCTCATCATATTTTTGTTACATTAATAAAAAAATGACGTTTGATAAATTATCTCAATATTCACAACCATCATATCTTATGATTGGATTAGATTTAACCAATGAATTGATAAATCAACAAAATTTATTAAAACTTCACGAAATATTCAATAAGATTAAAGATTGCGAGAATTTTATTGAAAAACAATCCGATGAAAAGAAAATTATTGTTATTATTTCTGGACACATATCTCTCGCTGAAATAAATCAATTAGAAAAATATTCAAACATCGACACAATTTATCAGTTCGTGCAATCCAATGATCAAAACGAACAACTCAAATGTATTTATATGAAAAAAGTCACACGACCTTACACAGAAACAATCGTTGAATTATTGAAAAAATTTTGGTTTCTTGTCGGTTTAGCTTTTGTCGTAGTACTTGCCGCTCTATTTCCATCTATAGGTGCATCAAATGGACCACTTCATGCTGAATATACATTGAAATGGGGATGTGTTATCGTGATCTTTTTACTTAGTGGTTTAGGTTTACCAACAAGAACACTCAAAAATGAATTATTTCACTATCGTTTACATATTTTCACTCAAACATTTAATCTCGTTTTTATTCCATTGATTGTCTTTGGAATTTGTTTATTACTCGCTAAAACATCATTCAATAAGATATTTATCGCTGGTATTATCACTATGGCCTGTACTTCTACGACTATTTCAAGTAATGTAAGTGTTGATAGAAATATTGATATTCGACGAGAAAAAAATCTAATTTGATTTTAGGTGATTATGACAAAAAATGCTGGAGGAAATGAAGCTGCAGCATTAGTTAATGCCGTATTAGGTAATGTACTTGGTATAGTGGTATCACCTGCCTTAATTTGGCTTTTTATGTCAAATTCGGATTTGAATGTTTTAAATGAACCATATCGAATACAAGATTATCTAAATGTATTGATGAATTTAAGTATAACGGTGTTGATTCCTCTCATTGTTGGACAAATTATTCATTTTGTTTGGACCGAACAAGTTACAATATTGAA